CCTCTGTCAATTTCTTTGCATTCATGTCTCTTCCTGTCCCCTCTCTCTCTCTATCTCCCTTTGTCTCTCCCTTTGTCTCTCCCTTTGTCTCTCTCTCTCTCTCTCTCTCTCTCTCTCTCTCTCTCTCTCTCTCTCTCTCTCTCTCTCTCTCTCTCTCTCTCTCTCTCTCTCTCTCTCTCTCTCTCTCTCTCTCTCTCTCTCTCTCTCTCTCTCTCTCTCTCTCTCTCTCTCTCTCTCTCTCTCTCTCTCTCTCTCTCTCTCTCTCTCTCTCTCTCTCTCTCTCTCTCTCTCTCTCTCTCTCTCTCTCGCTGTCTCTTTCTCTCTCTCTCTCTCTCTCTCTCTCTCTCTCTCTCTCTCTCTCTCTCTCTCTCTCTCTCTCTCTCTCTCTCTCTCTCTCTCTCTCCTCTCTCTCTCTCTCTCTCTCTCCTCTCTCTCTCTCTTTTTCTCTCTCTCTCTCTCTCTCTCTCTCTCTCTCTCTCTCTCTCTCTCTCTCTCTCTGTCTCACGCTGTCTCTCTCTGCCTCTCTCTTTGCCTCTCTTTCTTTCAAGTTGATACCATAACCATACTTCCTGATTTCGGTCGAACCTCAATATAAACAAACAAAATCCTTGAAATTGCCTTGGATATATATCTCTCTCTCTCTCTCTGGCTCTCTCTTTATCTCTCTCCCTCTCTCTGTCTCTACGTCTCGCTCTCTCTCTCTTTCTCTCTGCCTCTTTCTTTGCCTCTCTCTTTGCCTCTCTCTCTTCCTCTCTTTCTTTCTCTAGCTCCCTATCTCTCTCTCAATCTCTCTCTCTCCCTCTCCCTCTCTATCTATTATCTCTCTCATACCACAAATGCGTCATAAATCGCAAATTATAGCAGGATTTCTTCTTTTATCGTAACACGCATAGCGAAGATTAAATGATTCTTTGCGCGGAAAGACGCGCGCGCGCGTCTAGGACGGTTTCCATGTAAAGTCGGTTTCCATGTAATGCAATATGTATGTACTACGGCTTTAGCATGCTTAGAATGGTTATTTTATATATTTCCTCGCCTTTAAGTTAAAATTTAGCAGGAAAACACACAATTAAAAAATAGTACTCACTGTTGTCTGAACTCCAGAACAGGTTTAGTACCAGATAACCGCTCAATCTCACTGAACAATCTGATAAAGTTAGAGGTACAAGACTGGCTAGCCTCGTCCGCACTGACTCTGGCTTTGTGGGTTAGCTTGTGTTGGGGGGCAAGTCCTGGCGGGTCACGGCGGGGGTCTGTAGCTGCTTCTTCTCTCTGTACCATCATAGTGTACCTCTCTCTACACTGCGGGAAGAGGCGGTGTCAGCACTCGTGATAAAGAAGTTATATTGAAATGCTACGTTAGTCGTGAACAGCCATACGAACGATACGAACTACTGCCGTGTAACTTATTCCGATGTTCAAAGTATATTACAGTATACTAGCAGGAACCCGTATAACCCTAAAATGGTGTCAAGACTCAAGAGACTAAAATTATTATTACCTATTTAATTCGCGTTTTTGACACCACTTGGGGGTCCAAATTGTGGGCTTTAAAACTCCTATATCTTGGCCAATTTTTTATTTTTCCATGCTGATTTGGAGGCCATTAAAGCATTTGACCCAGTCAAAAAAGTTTCAGTTGTATATCTTTTACGGTTTTTGCGGAAAGTCGCGTTAAAGTAGATGCCGTGGTGTCAGTAAAATGGTACGGATAAACACATATATCCATCCATATATATCGTCTCGCTTTATATATATAGTAAGATTACCCATTACATGTAATTCATTACATTACAGGTGATGACAGATTTGTTGAAATGTATTAGCGCCATAGTATGACTTATAATACCATATACAATTTATTGATTTCTTTGTCTCTGAAGCATTCGTTTATTTTGTTCTGAATCTACTTTATCACTTGAAATAGCATCCTCGCCTAATTCTATTTGTATCTGTACTTTCTGTAGTACATATCGCATCCCACAATTATCAATTTTACCGATCACTTTATATTATTACCGATATATCGTTTCAATTAGGATGAGCAATGTCGAAATATCTTAAAAACAGAGATGATTATCTTAAGAACGGAAAGGAAATTTTCGATATGTACTGTACATCGGCAGAAAACCAACCTACGATGCTACCAAGAGCGCCACAGCACACTTACATTGACGTATACCCAGACGAAGATGAAGCTGGTCCAAGTTTCAGAGATGACCAAAAACGTCAGTTAGACTACGAGGCCGAAGTTCAAGTTTACAGAGCTCTCGAGGGGTTAGACTTAGATGGTAATGTGGTCGTAGTTCACAGCTTTCAATTCACGCACCATCAGTATCGATTGTGTAATCAAGGACATGTTAGAAAAGGGTGCAAGGCCTGCAGCAAATCTCCTAATAATCGCGAAGGAGAGTGCGATTTTCTAATCATAGCAGAAAACTGCATTGTGATCATTGAAGTGAAGAATATGACAAATTTAATTGAGGCATTATCTGCAACTAATGCTGAAGCAGGTCAGCCCAGATACAATGAAGAACAACATACGGCGGGATTACAGGGTTCATACAGAAAATCTGTCTCCCAGAGAAATAGAATGGTTGAATTAATCAAGAGCATCGAGAAGCGCACTAATATCTGTCACTTTACTGCTTATCCTAACTTCACGAGAAAATCGAGAGCTGAATTCCATTTAAAGCCTGATCAGCTATCCTCGATTATATTCAAAGAAGATAAAGATGATTTAGACTCCTGGTGGAAAAACAACGTGAGTGGGCTTTACATGGATGAAGCACTGAACTCTGACTTTCGTGAAAAATATGAGACAGTTAGGAACTTGCTTCTTTCCATTTGGTGCACGGATAATAGAAGCCGTTGTGATCAATCTAAGTGCAGTTTGGGATGGTGTATACAGGATATTGATAATCAGCTTCGTACTGGAAAGTTCACCTTCAGAAAAAACAATCCAAATGTGCTTCCAGCCCCCGATATCATTAGAGACTACTTAGAAGTGAACAACCTCACTAAAGAACAGCTAGATGCGTACAATTCAGAGGAAGATTTGGTCCAGATCAATGGACCCGCTGGAGCGGGGAAAACTGTCATACTCATCGCTAAAGCAATACAGTTGGCGAAGTCGGATGAAAACAGGAAAATACTGTTTTTCGTTCCTAACTCTGAAGCTGAATCAAGAGTTACGACTGTTTTAGAAAAAGCTAATGTGCGTCACTGTAAACTGAGAGATAATGACGTTGACTCTACGTTTGATGATATGATGAAAATGATGGAAAGGACAACGTCTCACATTTCTGAAATGATATCTAGCAAATTGATTGACAACCAAGTGATTATTATTCAAGGTCTGGATTGTGCCAAAAAAATCAAAATTCAACGTATACTCCCCCGTTTGATAAGGAGGATTCCAGAAATACTCATTTCACATGGAGATTGTGACCTTTTTATAGACGATGTTCAGGCTTCGTTACTTTCCGGCCGCTCGGCAGCAGAAGACAGGTTTTCTTTACCGGAAAAGAATGTTATCGAGCAGATAGCATCGGCCGTTTCGTCAAGTCGCAAAATCTGGATAACATATGACATGGCACAAGACATGATGAGGACAGCACATAAGGTGCACGAAGGTGCAGGACCACCAGTTTATCCTCCCTTTCGTCCTTATCACTCGATTATTTTATCGAAAAATTTAAGAAACACCTTCGATATATCAAATACTTTATCAGTAATGAGAAACCACATAGAAAAAGAGATATTGGAAAGAGAAATTGGCCCTGGGTCACGTGTATCCAATGATACCATCGTTGAACAAATACCTGGTCATTACATTCGTGGTCTAAAAATCAACATACACTTTTTTAATAAACGTGATTTGAATTTGATGGACCTTATTCTCGACCAACAATTGGACAAACTGCATGAGAAAGGGTTTTTACGACGGTTTGAGTTAGCTGTGCTTTTACACTCCTTATTAACAGAGGAACCTAACCTTATTGAATTTAGCAGCCTATTGTCATTATTTAGATGGGCTGAAATGAAAATAAATCAATTTATGTGGGCTGGGTCTGCCTCCAACATAAAATTGCTTCACAGCTCCGTGATTGCTTCTGGTGAATGGCCAGCAGTTATTGTACTACACGAATTTCAGCTGACTATGTCTCCTGACATACCCAGCCTGTTCGTAGCCATGTCCCGGGCTAGAGTGTATTGTACGGTTTTATTATTTCCTGGCCCTGACTTTACTTTTGATGAGGTGTACGATTATCATAAGATCGAGAATCTATTAGAGGATCTCCAATGTTATGCTAAAATCATACGCCATTAAAAAACAATTTGAATCATAGATAGCATGCTGATTATAGGTACAATTTTTCTCGTTTAGAAGATTCGATATTTTAGTCCTAACATATTATAAGGGAACATGGATTTATCTGTTTACTTGATTTCCGGAGTTCAGATCAAGAATGTAACTTTTACAATTTCGGGTAAATTTTCGAAATTACTATTTACCATAATATAATTACATACTGCATCTTGTGACTACAAGATTTATTACATTCATTAAGATGTTAAAATTTATGATTTAAGTACTATTTTGAAGCATCCTACATACCAAATAAAGTGTACTTGATAGATTAACTTTTATCTATAAACTAATCTTACAGCACAAGAGGATGCGTTTCTTTTGTCATAAAAGTAGCCTTTTAAGCCACAAATTTTACATGTCAGAAAGATGAAAAGAACTAAATAAATTCACCAATCAGCTGTTTACCTGGGTGGGAGTTTTGAAGCTGTTAGAAGATATGTTCAGAATATCACTGATGATGTTCCAGTTGTAGTCGAGGGGTTGAGCGCAGGGTGCCACTTGGAGCTCCTGCACTGTCAGGATAGACTGATGAAGTGCAAACTCCTCCGCAGGCAGCCAGTGACTTTGTTCGTCTATCTCTGTCGACTTCTCCGGTTTTATTCTTATAGGCCTTCGCTTGCTTATCTTCCTGTCTTTACCTCTGGAGTTATTAAATATTACATAGAAATAACTAATAATATGAGAGAAGTAGTTGCAGAATTAAATCGACTACTCATAACTCAGTGTCACATCGTAATCAAGTTTTCTCTCGTGGGATGAAAATGACATAAAATCCCAGTTCAAATAACATGGATGCAACACTAACTTAGGGAATGGTGTAGATGGGTGTTTGACATCAGGTGTTACACTTCTCTTAGGAACAAAGGGGACTGGTATCTCTTCCAAAGGAGGAGTACTCTGAGGCGTGCTGTTCTGTCTCTCTATTACCTGATAAAGGGAACTTTTAACTGGGTGTTTTAACATTTCAGCAACCTTTTCATCTGAGTTCAACTACTACAATGTTTTCCTGTTAAAGAAATGCACCAACAAGTACCCCGAGTTGAGCTAACAAATAGTTACCTCGGTTGGAGAAGGAGGTATAATAACAGCTTGAGGTGGTGGTGGAGGAGGGGGTTCAGGAGGCTCGTCCTTTATCTGTACTGCTGGGGGAATGATCTGGAAGGTCAAGTTCGGGATTATCGTAACTTCTGGTAACTCGCTATCCGTCATCGTATACTCCGTGAAATACCTGGGGAACAGAGTGGTTACCTTGGAAATCTGATTTATCGTGCCCTTATAGTTCAAAGTTTAAACTTAGAATAAGAATATTTAGAGCATGCTGATAAACACAATGAAAGCAATAATGTAGTGCCTTAACTGCCAAGGTGCAGGATAGAGATAAGGGGCTTGGGAGAGGCTAAGAGGGGAGAACTTACTGAGCTTGTAGGACAGGATCCAGGTGGTAGACATCATGATCTTGCGGGGGAGGGGTTGGAGGTCTCCACACTGCATGTCCCGGCCACACCTCTTCTTCTTCATGGTCCTACAAGTGGGAACTGGGCTCAACAGTTTGTTACTTTTGGTTGTGTACTGCACTGGAGTCGCACAGTTAAATGAAAACGAAATTTGTGTCGCTATTAGTAGTAAATAGAGAACAGTTGTAAGTTTTAACAGCAAATAGTACATTCCACACATCACGAGATGTTAAGATCTAGATGAAACAGCCTCTGTACAGGAGTGGACTAGAAAACAGACGGAGTTCGGAAAAAAAGTTCTTTCCTTAAATTCTGGCATAAATTTTCGAAAAACTGGAAGGGTTCAACCTATCTTGACTTCAATTGCAGGAAGTGAAATGTTTCTGGCAAGATTTTCAGGTCAAGGAATAAGAGGGACTGGGTACTGGACCCAGTAGTGGGAATATTCATATCGCACAGTGCAAGTTTAGTCCAACAGAGGCTGCCTACTAGTCCACATCCTGTAATATATGTGATACTGAAACAGTAACACTCCACTTATCGATCTGTAAAAACATTTTCAAATGATAAAAATATTTAAAAAATCGACGTTATTTGAGGGTTCATTTCAATGAGAAATTTATCATAAAACAATAAATTAGCTGATTTCACATCATACTAATATATGAAAATATTCTGACATAAAAATTCACGTCCCCTAAAATTTTAACAACTGCGAAACTTGAGGCTGTTTCATCTATAATCTAAAAACATCTAACAGAGAGTGGAAAATACCAAAGCATTAATAAATACAGAATCCTTCTCTAGGGAGATACGAGAATGAACCTATTCTACACATCATGAGATGCCAGAAGAAGCAGGCTGACCATTATAAGAACTCGGGTCAGGATTGAGAACACCACTACTCGGAGACATTATTTCTACTTCCGAGGGAAATGAAATGGCGGCCTGATTAACATGAGATTCATAGCTAGGGGGAGGGAACGCAGGAGTCACCGCAGCAGAGAACCCAACATTTTGGAGATTAGAGTGGCAGCCAGATCCCGGTTGGAACTGGGAGTTAGGGATTTGTGCAAAGGTGGAGGATGGTATATGGTGCCTGATTGTTGGAGCTGATGACACAGTCAGTGTCTGAGGGACCTGGCCCTGGTTATAATGGACACCATTAGTTTGGTAACTGTTATTCCACCCTGGGTTGAGATCCACATTCCCGTACTGGTAAGGATTGTGAGGGTTTACAACTGGTTGGTAGGCTGCCTTATTGTAAGGTGAACTGTTAAAATAAGCAGGACTGACTGGTTGTGCCCTTGGATTATAGGAGTGTCCCAACCCAGCCATGTTGAACTGCTGGTATATGGAGGACACTGGAGGAGGCTGTATGTTGTTTGGAACGTACGGGACAGAGTAGTTCATATTTGTTGCATAGCTCATAGAGGTCGGGAAGAACTTGGGGAGATTGGAATCAGCCGTGAATGTGTCAGGTATGTTCGGGTTAATAGTCAAGTTACGCTGCCGTCTGAGAATGTTGTTCTGACATAGGAGATGATCTTGACCGACACTGTGAGCGATTGGGGTTTGACTGGTCCAGCTGCTACTGGTTGGAAGGGAATCAGGATGCGAGTTAGGTGGCAGTGGATTCCTTTTTGAGGCGTACGTTCTTTTTGGGCCTTTAACAGTAAGACGAGGAGTAGATCCAGCCGAACTACTCTGATAACAAACTGGTGGCCTACAAGGATTCCCTGGATTATAGATGGATATCATTGGTCTAGCTTGAGTCAGGACAGGTATAAGTGCTCTGCCAGGGAACGGCATCCTTGGGACAACACTAGGCCCGGGTCGAGTTAACTTTGCAGCTTGAGCTGAGCATTTGCGCTGTGCTGAGGCCAACTTCTTCTTACACTTAGCCAGCTCCAGGTACAACCTCTCTTTCTCTGCCTCTATCTTGGCTAAACAATAGCGATTTTGCCTCTTCTTCTCATAGACAGGCCGGACATATTCCTCATCGGAGGAGTGCTCAGAAGAAGACGGCAGCTCCTCTTCCCTCCGCTGTCTCGCGGCGAGACGGCGCTTTCTCTTGCATTTCAGTAGTATCACCTGGGGGTCCCACATTGAGTAGGTTAGAAGAAGGTCGTCCTGGTATCCTTGTTCCTCCTGTGCAGCCTGCATCGCGTGTAGACTCGTGTCTGGTACCGTCAGTTCCTCCTGCAATGAATAAGTTTAGCTAACATATAATTTGTGTCGCAGTTATCAACTCTTAAAGATGTCCCTGTGCAATGCAGTAAGCTACGAGTAGGCGCCACTAGCCAAAAATATTGGTTTTGGCGCCAAAATCGACTTCAACTTTTTTCCCTAGTAAAAATAATCGGTAGCTCTAAAAGCTGCTGTGTGCGTCATCAATGGGTTAAGGCAGTAATTGTCGCAAAATAATTATTAGATAGGGTATCAGATAGTACAGCCTGTACAGTACGACCCTATCAATTAGATAGTGATTGTTTTACACAAAACAAAGAGCAATGCAAATATGCGCGCAGTCTTCTGTACGTGCGCGCCAAATGCGTACTTTGTACTTTAAAATTGCAAAAAGTAAAGACCCTTCCCGCACTTGTCGCGCAGATGATCTGCAAGATGGCTGTCTGTAAGAATGTAGTCTGATATCATAATATACGACTTAACTCATTTATCAACCTACAAATTAAGACTTAAAGTGTGGAAGCGAATAATATTTAGCACAACATACCCTATTTCCTACAGGTAATGATTCAATTTACACGATGGCCCTAGATTGGGACCACATTTTTAATCCAGTCCTTTTTTATGGCCCTTCAAATGTTGCTCAAATACTTATACCTCAAGTGTACTCATGTGTCTAAGATAATATACGTATTTGGCACCTCAACAACGTTTCTAAAGGTTGAAATTGAGGTGTTTTCATAAGAAATAATGCATCAAGTTAGTAGTTACGTCAAAACGGCGCCAAATTTTCAATATAATATGACATATGAACCTTGATTGTCCGATTGATCTGGCAGTCAGAGCACCTTTCAAAGAACCATAATATGATACATGTACATGATGTATATGTACACCAAATGAATATAAGCAGACAAACATAACTAATTTAACAAAAGTCTTACCTCCTGTTGTTTAAGTAACTCGGAGAAGTTTTCTGCGTTTTCAGCCTCCAAAAAGCGTAGAGCAAATTGTTCAAGGGGCGTGAGCTGAGAGTATTAGCCGTTAACATTGTACAACTGTAATACAGCTACCAAACATTAAACACACAATTACATCTTCTCGGATGCAAATATATAGCATCCAGTAACGGTAAAGTTTTGTTTCTTATTCCTATTATAATATTTATTCATTTGAACATCCAGAACAATTATAGATGGGATATTGTTCACCTCGTCTTCGATAGACTTAATTTCGTCCTCAAACTGTTTGAATTCTTTGTTTTCAGCGACGATATCTTTGTCTGCTTCACTCTGCGATAAGAAACAGGTTAGTTGGATAATTGAGTATATTTTATTATCTGTCCAGTAGGTATAATATCAAACATCAGATCACGTCATGTAAAGTCAATAAAATGTCCATTACAATTCAGAAATTTCAATTTACCATAGCAGGTTCACCCTCAATAGCCACTTCCTCGTCAAAATCGCACATATCTTGGGACTGTTCAGTGGTTGCTCGTTGTGCAGCACTTCTGTCTTCAACGTCTTCAGCATCTGCTAACACCTGACACAAGTCAATATTAAATATCCAGCATCACTAGGCTGGTAAGATTAAGTGATCAACAATGGATTTGGAGCCTCATTTTGGGAGTGGAAACTTAAAAGCTTACTGTTAATAATAATTACTATAATTAAATAATTATTAAGGTAATTACTAATTAACTACCTGCTCCAGATCCTTCTTAGAGATAGTCCTGTGTTTTGGCGAGGCAGTGCTGGGGTCCTCCTCCACAATGGTATTACCGAATAATTCGGCCATGTTGTCCTTCTTGAAGAACGCTGTGGTGAAGTTACCCTCTTCTATTGCTACCGCACCAAGCAACCTTTTCTGGTTCGCTTTCTTTAGGATATTCTCCTCGATCGTACAGGAGCTTATCAGTCTATAAATGTGAACATCCCTGAAATAAGCAGTCATTAATTATAATCCGGTAATTGTATTGTAATTGCAAGTAATTATAAATTAACGATATTTAGTGTTAGTATTTACTGTTACAATCTGAACAATGCTAACAATGCTACCATAAATGAAGTAAAATAAAGTGGCTGGAATAAATCCCAATGAATATCGGAGAGATTCCAACCTTGTCTGACCGATCCTATGACAGCGGTCCTGCGCCTGCGCGTCCATTGTAGGATTCCAGTCAGAGTCGTAGAATATAACAGTGTCAGCACCGGTAAGATTTACACCAACTCCTCCTGATCTGGTACTCAGGATCATGCAGAATATCTTACTGTCAGCATTAAACCGCTCCATTAACTCCTGGGGTTACAGTTACATTTAGGGGGCTACGTTACAGGGGGTTACAGGGGGTTACAGTTACATTTAGGGGACTGAGGTTTCACGCCAAAATCTTAGTGAGTTGAGTAAACTCTATTAGAGGAAGAATTTAAGACAAATTAAGATGCAGTGATTCCCTGTCAAAATGTAAAATGCAATTAAATCTCTGGTGTTATTTAACAATAAACTAACCAGGCGGTGGTCTACTCTGGTGGTACCGTCTAATCTGAGGTATCGATAACCGTGATAGTTTAAGAAACGCTCTAAAATGTCCAGGACTTTAGTCATCTGAGTGAAGATCAGAGCTCTGTGGTCGCCAACTTTCAGGTCTGCTAGTAAACGGTCTAATCGCTGTAGTTTGCCGCAGTCGTACTGTATTAATCTGGAACAAGGTTACCATTATAATTATTAGTATTATAACTTCAGATTTACACGGGATTGAACACAAAATAGAGGTAAAACAGGTAATTTCATATCATTGTAGAACTAATCCATGTTGACTATCTCAGAGAACAACGTCAACTCTTAATACATCAGTCTAACGGCACAGATAACTAAATACCTAGTTTCGGGCATGATCATCTGTAGTTTTGAGCGGACAGGATGATAAAGGTCAGTAAGGTCATGACACTGGTCGATAAGAGTTGTAGCCATGTGTTTCAGAGAGATAGGATTTACTGATACAGAGATTGGATCACAACATATCATAAATCTCTCGATTATTGGAGATAAATCTTCCATTCTCTCTATCACTGAGGAAGATTTGTTGAGTAAATTGGTAACCTACATGTATAACATTATGAGTTACACTATACGGCCTCATAATTGTAAAACAAATTTTCGTATAATGAGATTAATCAGCAGTTTGAAAGAACATCCTGATGTTACGAATAGTGAAATATGTTGACAAAACTAGATATTTGGGAGGAAGAGTTACCTGTTTTGTGTTGCACAGAAGAGAACTTGACAGACACAGTACTGATAAGATCAGCTCCGTACATGGGAACTCTCTGGCACCTCATATCGTTAAGATCCGCTAACATCCTCCTCCTACTTGTCCTCCACGCTTGTCTTGTTTCTTCCAGTGACGGCTAGATGATACGCAGGTTGGTTACACAGTAAGACAACTCTAATCTTCTTAAATAAAAGTCGTATACCACTAACTACTAGGTACCCCAGCAAAAAGCGTTGTTTAAAGCTTAAGTGTGGAGCTGCTTTTAAAAACTTGTTTAAGTTTTAATATGTTCACGTGTAATAAATGTCAATTCACAGGCCTCACCAGAGCAAGAGAGTTGTTGCAGCAGCCGTCAGCGTGGTCAGGGGACCTACGCTCTGCTTTGACAGGGGACGTCTCAACAGTGTTGCGTGGCGACATGGTGCGCAGCGCGTGGGGCTCTGGCGACGAGCAGCTGCTGTGTGCTAGTGTCGGGGGTAACATAGCTCCTAGGGGATATTCATATTGAAATAGTACTGTATTATAAGTCTTTTCGAATACATAATAGCTTCGTCAACTACATCTATCTTTGTTTAAATAGCAAAATATGATTTAGATTGCGAAGTTAAATTGCATACCACGTTTGGAGCTCCCTTTAGAAGTGTAGTTAGTTAGTTGAGGTGGTCCTAGAGGGGGGCGGCGAGGTGGCGGCATTCCAGGCTCCACTAGAGGTAACATTACTCCTGATACGGGATCTCTAAAGTAGCCGGCAGGGATGAGATTACTGCTGGCAGGAGATTGAGGGGACACTGAACCTACTGGTGTTTCCCTGGTCTCAGGGTTTCTGGTGACTTGTTTAGCCATGAGAGGAGGGGGTTCTGAGGAATCGCTCCGAGGTGAGGACAGAGAGAGAGGGTTAGGAGAGGTGTAGTGTACAGATCTAGGAGAAGGTAAGGACCGGGGCGAGGACATTGGTCGAGGGGAGCTCTTAGGGTTGCTGCGTGCAGAGCTAGTTGGAGCACCTGGAGTGGAGCGCGCGCTGGTAGGCGGAGTGCTGCGAGGGGGTGCAAGAGAGGGCATTTGTCTGAGAAGAGGTAGAGGAGGTAATGTGGGAGAAGGAGGACGAGGAGGAGGGAAGGAGGAGTGGGAAGGAGCGGTGTATAGGACGTTATCTGGTACTGCGCCTTTGTAGTTCACTTCTTCTATCAACAATCTGTGTGCTTTTATCTGCTGTGTTCTGTGAGCTGAAATAATTAATTATGTTTAGGACCAAACATTGAATCAAATTGATAGTGGCTGAAGAAATTTTCTTACTTTTTGAGACCAATTCGTGGTATAAAATCTTATTTCGTTTTTAAAGCAAAAATTCGAAAAGAGCAAATTCTTAAAAATTATTCAAACCAGAGTGGGCTGAAAGAGAATGTTCGTAATCAACCAAGTTGAAGTTAAAAAAGTCGAGATCAATGTGGTTGTTAGATCTGAGAGCGTTGAGAAGAAGAGCAGGGGTGTTAGTTTGTAGGGATGGGAGAGCTAGAGGAGAGAACACACCACGTTCTTCAAACAGATCCGGGTGGTTGCATACCTGCAGGAGAATAGAGTGTTAATCTGAGAGTACAGTGTTAATCTCACGGTTTTTGTGACTGATTATCAAGGGGAAACTTCGCAGATTAATTGCTGTGAGACCAGTAACTTCATTAATTTTTTAATTTGATCGAGTTTTTAAAATCAGTTAAGTGTTACCTTTCTGAGCTGCATTAGAATTCCAATAACACTGATAAATCTGCCACTAGATAGCGTATCTCGGGTATCCTTCCTAGACAAGAACTCTTCATAGAGCGCTCTTTGTCTTTTGGAGAGACCGCACATCAAAACACTCTCAGTCTTAGTAGGTAGCTGTAACTCGACCTCCTTCTTCAAGCGGCGCAGCAAGAACGGGCGCAGTATCTTGTGTAGTCGCTCTACCAAGTGCGCGTTGTATTCCTCTGTTCCTTCTACCATGCCGACTAGAGGGTTACCAAACCATTCCCTGAACGCGCTCTGAGATCCGAATACAGAGGGCATCAAGAAGTGCATCAGTGACCAGAGTTCCATGAGATTGTTTTGTAGTGGAGTCCCTGTCAGTAACAACCTGAATATCATTATTTAGTTAACTGTGAGAGGGGCATATTAAATCAAATTATCGTTTTCATACAAGATGAAGTTTTCTTCTAAATTATTGGAATGAAGGGAATTTATCCAGACCTTCGCTGAGAGTTGAAGTTGAGAAGAAGCTGCCACCGTTGAGACTTGAAGTTTTTGATATTGTGTGCCTCATCGAGGATGAGGAAATACCACTTTTTGGACCTAAAGGCTCGATAGTCCTGTATAACAAGCTTGTAACTCGTAACACACACGTGAAATGTGTTGGGCTTGGTCCAGCCCACTCTTTTCTCTCGTCTCTCTTTCTGGGACCCGTAGTACGACATAACCTGAAACAAAGCTTAGTCAGTTTCTCATCTACTCTGTTTTATGGGGCCACTCGCACCTTAACTTTCCGTAACATAGTCACTGATGAGCGACGTGAACACGAACTAAGTAATGGCACAGTGTACGCAATGACCACAGAGTCTCAGTTTTTCTGGGAGCATGCGATACACCCCGAACCTGGCGTCACCTCGTGTCGTGTGTCAGTGACCTTTAGACGCATAGACAAGCCCATGCGCACGCACATTCCTAAAATCCATGAACCGTCAATAGCACCATCCGACCCCCTGAGACCCTCCAAACAGACTGTCCTATACCTTACTGACTCTATGATACGTAACACCCCATCATCTTTCCCCTCTAACTTTCGTGTCATAAAGCGTGACATGTACCAACTCACGGACTTAATGAAGTTTGAAAATTTTTTCGAAAACTGCGATTATGTGATTATATCTTCCGGTATTAATGATTTGTCGAGATATGACCATAGAAGCTATACACTTTCCCGTGAAATTAGGGACAATTTTAACTACTTGTTTGCTAGATACCCAAAAACAGTGTTTGTTTTCAACTCCCTTCTTAGAACGAGATTTGCATGGTTAAATAAGGAGGTTGATTTGTTTAACCGCTGCATGTTTGACTTTAGTCTGATCGAAAATCGTAACTTTTGGTTTTTCGACTCCCACCATATTTGTAGTGTGATATTTAACAAAGGGTTTGAGATTTTAGATAGATCTGGAAATGGGATTCACATTACTCAGCTGCCCAAGAGTGAGATAGCTAACTGTCTGGTGACCGGTGTTCAAAAACTCTCTATGCGAAGCGAGAAAGTTCGAAAGCACTGGCCATTAAGGCGGGAGTTTGTCTCGCTCTTGCCTGGTAACTAACGGTTAAATACAAACTCACAAAGCCGTACCCCAGCCTACTACTTATACTTGCCGCGCCAAAATTTTCACAAAATTTTTACAAAATCTTTAAGGGATTATAGCTTACATCTTATAGTTATGGTTATATTGAAAACCCTCGCATAAAAATATATAGTCATGCCCGTGCTCTTATCAGCTTATCGTAAGTTACTAGAATTCTTGCCCGAGTTTTTTAAACACTTTAGAATAGTTCTGAAATCAGTACCACTATCGTAATATTGTAATATTGTAGACTACGTTACGATTCTATCTACACACAGAGCTGTATAGTTCTTGATAGGTAGGTCTAACAAGTTTTCTTTTTCTTCTTTACGCTTTCTCAGCACACAGTTTATTCCTCATTCATTCACACGCACACACATTAGCATTTTATACATATTCTTAGACTGTACAAGCTATTCTATACACCATACTATACACTCTTATCTATTTAATATCTTACTTAATTATTCACAGATATCTGGTATTTACACATCTTGAACAATGGTTGAACCTAGTTTCAAATCACAATGCTCAAGTTGCTTCGGGTGGTCTTATGCTCCTAGAAATGTTTTCATTTGTCCTGTATGTGACAAACCAGTTCATAAAAAATGCCTCAAAGATTATCTTGGTTGTATTACATGCTGTCTAAACCTAATACCTGGCTATAGAGTAACTTCCTACGAACTTAATGATAATTACAATACAATAACCCCCACTTTTAACCCCTATATTCGTTCTCACGTACTGAATCAAATAGGCGAACTTACTGATGAAATAGATTCCAGCGAAATCGATCTCAACAATTGTATATCGGAGATATTGGTTAGCTGTAAGTACCAACACCCTGATAATATCAAGACCCCTAGCAATCGCGAAATCAAGATACTTTCGTTAAACGTTAGATCACTCGTGAAGAATATCTCAAATTTTAGAGAAGAAATAGAAACATTCTCCAAATTTGACCTCATCTGCCTCAATGAAACCAACTGTAAAATTTCTAATCTTCCTAATGGTCTGAACGACATTGAAATCGAACAGTTTTACGAGCCCTTTATCAAAGAACCTGTACGTAAATCTGGAAAAGGAGGTGGTCTTGCGCTCTATGTTAACAAACGCGTTTGTGATCACGATAAAATACAGGAACTCGAACTTCTGAGTCCAGAAGAAGTTACTTGCGGAGAATTTCAATTGCTTAAAATCAACAATTTTAAAAACGGAAATAAGACAAAAATCATCGTAAATTTCTACCGCTCGCCATCCACAAGCCCTAAAAAATTCCTTGAAAAGTTTGAAAACGTGCTCAGGGGTCTTGATAGACACTCCAGAAAGCAGATAGTCTTCCTGGGTGATGCAAATATTGATCTTATAAAATACGATACCGACGCTTACAGCCAGGATCTTATAAGCTTACTAGAAAAATATGGGTTTGCCCAGACTGTCTCCAAGCCTACCAGGGTAACTGACCACAGTGCAACGCTTATTGATCACGTGTATACTAATCACGTGACCAACGTTATTAGTTGTAATGTCGTGACGTTGGATATGTCAGATCATCTCGCGGTTAGCACGACCATTAGTTTAGGAGCCACACCTAGTTTGAACGAGCGATTCCGTAGTCAACGTGTAAAGAACAACAACACTAGCTTGAAATTAGAGGCCCGTGTATTTAACGAAGCTAATCATGCTAAATTCAAAGAGCTTATTGTAAGTGAGACCTGGGATGATGCTACCTCCTCAACGTGCGCTGATGAACAATACAATTCCATCTATCAAACGTACATGAAACACTACAATACTGCATACCCCCTGAAGCGCGACAGTTCGAGAAGAAAATTCGAAAGAGCTGACCCAAAGCCTTGGATCTTACCCTGGCTTGAGGCGGCATGCAACCGCAAGAAATTACTTTTTTTTGAAAAAACTATAAATCCATCACAAAAAAACTGCGACGCGTATGATAAAATGAAAAAGTTTTGTCACAAACATGTGAATCTAGCCAAAGAAAAGTACTATAAAAAAATGTTTGACAAATACCAAAACTGCTCTAAAAGTCAATGGAAAATTATCAATGGCCTCCTGAACCGTAACAGAAAAAAGTTCGGACACACCCGTCTGAAGGACGACGATGGCACGATTATAAGCTCCGATCTGGCAGTCGCTGAGAAATTTAACGGCTACTTCTCCGGTATTGCAGCCAGTATCAAGAGGCAAATCGCTGCCCGTCGAACCTTTGACCCAGGTGGTTTCAAGCATTTTCTTAAGGCTTCGTGTAGTAACTCGATGTTTCTTAAGCCTACATCACACGGTGAAGTCCAAAAGATAATATCAGGGCTTAAGAACAAGTCCACACTCGATTGTAAAATTGAGCCATTGAAAATTGCAAACAGCTGCGAAAACTTTACCAGGGCACTAGCTAATGTTATTAACTGTTCGTTCTCCAGTGGTACCTTCCCAAATGCTCTAAAAACTGCGAAAGTCGTTCCTATCCACAAAGGTGGTTCAAAATTGGAAGTAGCTAATTATAGGCCGATCTCTCTTTTGGGATCATTCTCGAAAATTTATGAGAAACTTATGCATGCTCGTGTTTTAGAATTTTTAGATAAGAACGATTCTCTTTTCGAAAATCAATACGGATTTCGGCCAGGAAGGTCGTGTGAACATGCACTGCTCAATGCCCAAAATTCTATACTACACTCTCTGAATAAGAAACAAATTTCCCTACTGCTCCTGCTCGATTACAGTAAAGCCTTTGACGTGCTTGATCATGAGACCTTGCTTAAGAAGCTTGACCATTATGGGATCAGGGGAGTCGCGCACGAATGGTTTAGATCTTACCTTTGTAATCGATCTCAATACGTAACTTTAAACGGAACTTGCTCTTCTAGCATGCCCATAGTTTACGGCGTACCTCAGGGTAGCATTTTAGGACCTCTCTTATTTGTAATTTATATAAACGACCTACCTGGAATTAGTGATTTTGCAAAGTTCATCCTTTATGCCGACGACGCAAACATATTAATTAGTGGAACCACCCTAGAAGAAATACAATTAAAAGCTAATCAGCTAATTTCACGTCTTGTAGATTGGGTAGGTGCTAATGGGCTATCTTTAAATGTAAAAAAGACGTGTTACATGATTTTCACTAGAAAAAGAATCGACTTCAGCGGCTTTAATTTGTCCATTGACAACACTGTAATCGAACGTAAGACTGAAGCAAGATTTTTAGGAGTGATCCTAGACGAAAAGCTCACTTGGCAAAAACACATTACGGCAGTTAGAATAAAGATGGGTCGCTACCTCGGAGTTATGTATAAGCTAAAGCACCTTCTACCTATCAAAGCCCGCCTAAACATTTTCCAAAGCCTTATCCAATCCCATCTAAATTTCTGTTCTTTAGTGTGGGGATTTGCCTCAAAATGTCACATTGAATCTCTGTTCACCAAGCAAAAGCAGGGAATTAGAGCTGTTATGTCAGGATATGTAAATTATAGATATAAAGACGGAAATCCCCCGGAGCACACAAAAAGTGCGTTTAGATTGCATAATATCCTAACAGTCCATAGCGTCATTGTAAAAAACGCTCTTATTCTACTACACAAAGTGAGGAACATGCCAAGCCTTCTCCCTAAATCCATCAAAGAACTTTTCCCTCACGATATTCCCACCTATAATTCCACATACGAACATAACCTTTCTTGGTTCACAACTTACAACGGCCCAACATTTAGAAATACTCTTTTCTTCAAAGGACCCATGCTCTCTATTACAAAACAAAGTAAGGATATAACTATTCCAAGTTCTACCTTTTCAATTGAAATCTTTAAAAATTCAGCTAAGCGCGAACTCCTCAAGCTGCAAAGCTCAGGAGACGATGTAAATTGGCCAAATTTCTTACTTTATAGTATACCTGGGCTAAGAAAGTCTCAAAGAGAAGGGCGCTCGCAAATAGACTACAGCACCGAGTTATAAGTAAGCGACAACACGTAAAGAAAGATCACTCGCGACAAATGACTATGATCTTTTATCAACAACATATCATTTTAATTTCACTGCCATTATGCAATGCCGAATTTACATCTGCCGCGCAAAACTTTTTATCTATTATTATTAAATAGTAATTAGCATGTTTACAAATTGCGACTTCAACCAGTTTTGCAGACCGTTAGTTATATAGTACTTTTAGTAGGGCTTTTATTTTAATATATTTTATTTTACATTATTATATTTTAGTGTGACTTCTATAATTTCATTTATGTAACTATGTAATAACCATTGATTAATAAATTGCGGCACACGCCAACCTCCACCGTGGGGTTTCAAAAGAAAGAAAGATGAAAACCTGTACGATTAGTTTCTTCCTTGCAATTAATGGAACTTGGAAATGATTAAGTATGATAAGATTCTTACCTTGAAGGAAGGAAGCCATTTCTTGAATTCCAGATCCCAGTTCAGAAGAACAGATGTTGGAACTATGATAAGATGAGGACCCCAAATACCTTTGAAACAAGCTAGATGCGCTAACAATGCAATGGTCTGCATTGTCTTCCCTGTGAGAATATGATACATAACTTAACAAGTACTGCCAGAGCAAGCACTGCTTCAATAATTTACTTCCAACTTATAAACCAATTAACTTACTAAAATCAACTTCAATAACTTACCAAGTCCCATTTCATCAGCCAGAATGCCGTTGAGTTTCCTAGCCTCCATAGCAACCAGCCATTGGAGACCAACCTCCTGATACTCTCGGAGCTGGCCTCGAAGCAGGAAGGGTAGTTTGGACTTGGAGGAAGAGGTCTTGTTGCTCGGTTCTACTTCAGACGCACCGGAACAGAGCTTACCTGCCATCACAAATACACGTTAGATGCTTTCACTTGACTAATGATCATTTGTTTTCTCTTTAGAATACAATTAGTTGAGTGTAATCCTTAGCTACCGTTATCATTGCAACTCAATTTCATTAAGATTCAAAAACTGAGGCTCAATTCCAATAGTATTTATACTTTATAAAGTATTTTATTTTTAAAAGTATTTTACCTAGCTCTATATCGATCTCCTTAGCAGAAGAAGGAGTAGAAAGTTCCATATCAGCATCCTCTCCATCACTAGCCTCACTCTCCTCCTCTTCTTCACTGTCCTCTTCACTTACACCACTTCCTGTTCCTGAAGACTCTGTCATTGCATCTCTCTTCTTCACGTAGCGTGCTATCAGCTCCTCTAGAGGCACGTCTTGGTCGTGTTGTAACTCTCCGATCTCGTCAGCTTTATCTGATCCTTTGTCATCATCTGCTTCTGCTTTTGCTATCGTATCTTCGTCGTCAGCAGATGTGTCGTCAGACGCATTGTAGTCAGTGCTGTGACTTGAACCTTCTCCGGTCTTTTCTAGCATTCCTGAACAAAGATCATTGAAAACTTCATATTTATGACCAATTTCTTCTCGACATTACGGTCTATTGAAACAGTTGTGCAGAAACTATCTGAAATATAATACCTTCCGGGAATTATATCCACTAAAACTCGGCGAGCTGATGATTTGCACATTTTTCCCGCAAGGGAAGCGAAGGTATTATCAGCATAGACTCAGACTGGCTGGCGGCAAGTTGTAAAACAAATAACACTGGCGTTCTATATATTAGACATGCGCACGTATCACATTACACCCCTTCCAATCGGAACCGGAATGTATTATAAAATATAATACCTCCACTACTTCGTGCCCGCGCGTTCCCTCCAGCAAGCTGTCGGGAATTATCGCGCTCAGCACTCAGTGGCGGAGGTATTATAGTATTATAACAAATTATGAAGTTGACCTGGCGGTAAAGTCTGGATCAGTTCGTTGAGATCCATCTCGTTTTGTTTCTTCAAGTCAGCGAGCTCCTCCTCCACATCACTCTGTCCCTCCTCCTCAGCTGCTGCTATCGTCTCCTCGTCATCAGGCTGGTCTAATGTTGCTGGTTTGAACTCTACATCTCCTGAGGAGTACACTGCTGGGAGGTGTCATCGCCATTATCGCCACTTTTAATAGAGTTGAATACAATTTCATATCGATGGCGAAAACGGTGCGATGGCGGAAAAAAATTTCTGCTATTTTTGCCATATTGCATCGAAAATGGTGAGAATGGCGTAATGTTTCTCTGGTATGGACTTAGGTTATTTAAACGAGAATTGCGAAAAACGTTTTCAAGACGTCAATTTGTGATCGAACAGTTCATACCGTCTTGACTAGAAGGGGTGAGCATGACACTGCTCTTTGGAGTTTTGGTAAGTCCTTGTGCTAGCCATGACGAGAATTGCTCCGTTTGTCCTACTATTATGTTGAGGTGGGTATCCATTAACTTCCGTCTGCGTTCCTCCAAATGTGACCTGAAAAAGTGGGAGTAATGTGGTGAAACTGATGTCATCAGTCATTACATTGCACAATGCATAGAAAAAGACTATCATCAGGAGACGAATCATCAATTTGAGTCTTAATTTGAATAAATCTGTTGGTTATTTATAACAATAAAAATACACCATTGCAATAAACACAACAACTTACTCCTGTTTAAATTTATGAACTTTCTCTACACCCGACCACATCTTCATCACATCCTTGGCAATATTGTGAGCAATCTTCTTTAGCTTCTTTTCCTGTTCCACCATTTGTCTGCGTTTTGCAGCCTCTTTTTCTTCAAACACTTTAGCAACTGCATAAGCCTGCTTTTTGGCTGCTGCTTTTTTCCACTTTCTCTCCTGACTAAAATCAGTGGCCAGCCACTGCATCTCTTCCAATAAATAATCCCAATGACACTTGATTTTATCAGGTTCTTTTACTTTAGGCAAACGTTTGAGTGACCACATGCCCTGCTGCTTCAATACAGCCACCTGCTGAACTATCAGAGCTTCGTGCTTGGCCTTCTCTATGACACCACCCTCTGACAGAGCAGCCATGCTGCTCATGAAAGGGGTTGAGGAGTGCTCCTCTTTTTTTACTTCCACTTTAGGCATTACGTGACCAGTGGGAACTTGTTCTAATAGATCGGGAAGAGCGTCTGTGCTAGCGCATTTTATTTGCTGAATATAGTTTTCGAGGAAAGGGTTTGATTGGTTTGTCCAGAGGTTGATGTCCAGCAGGTTTCCATCATTATGTAGGAAGAAAAGCTCAGCTAAATGGTTTCTAAGATTATCCTGAAAAGGTAGTATTCGTGTCATAAAGGTCATGCTCATAGCAGCAATTATTAGTGTTTAAATTGATAAGTCAAACTGAAGGCTAGGATGTTAAGAAACACTGTAAATACAGAGCTAGAGACTATTTGATTTAATGTACATAACACAGAGTTCAAAACAAGAATGTCCCTTCCATAATAACCTGGTGTTTTTGGATTTCATTCCTCAGATCATTTACTAGGTTGTCCCTCTCATATGCTGGCCTTTTGGTGCTGGATTCAGGTATTGTAGTGACATATCGCTTCATAACTCATATTCAATAATGCTCCCTGTAAAATAAGTTTAAATTATTTCGCCATTTAAAAAATGTTGCCCACAGCACAAGATCAAGAGAATTAAGTATAGTCAGATTTTTTTAATTCTTAGATTTAGAATATGTTGCGTCAGGAGGGAGCTGAAATCATCTGCAAGATGATTGACATTGACAATAACACCAGTTAAGTCCCCTAGCCTGAATATATAAAGTAACCTCAAATTAAAAAGGAATCGCAATATCGTAAGCAATGAGGCAAGAATTATTTATTTAGCTTAAGCTTGAAAAACTCTCTCATATAATATAAATTACACTTCAATTTAAATTAAAAAATTATAAATCAATCACTATAATTTGAAAATAATACCTACGTACGTACAGCCATTGTCCAACACAGAAATATCCTCATTCTTTACACAGTTATTTTTAGTAAAATCAATACACTATACTATAGTTGCACCAATTTATAAAAAGCAAATTGATTGTGATTAATAAAAGATAAAACTAACAACAAAGCTCAAGAGGAGGTGGGCACTCTGGTATTTTACCCCACTCAAAAGATCTGTTCTTATACTGAACCAAATCCTCCTCAGTCAGTTTTGGGATTCTAGATAGATCTTCTGTGATAGTTGCGGGCTGTGGAGCTAAGGTGGCAAATGGGTTGTTGGACGCAGCAAGAGTTGAAATTCCACCAAATGGGGCTGAAGGGGTCTGATTATTTGTAGCTAATGGTGCAGGATTTTGAGTTTGAGGTGTAACTGTAGCTGTCCCAGTATTGAAAGGAGAAGGTTTGCTGAGAGCATCATTAGGATTAGTTGCAGTCTGAACTGTTGGGGCACCGCTGGTCTGACCAAATACTGATTGTCCAGAACTTACAGTAGTTTGCCCAAAGACAGATTGACTAGGGTTTGGCTGAGCAAAGGCTGACTGGCCACTGGCACTTGATTGGGTAAACGGAGACTGTCTAAAAGTTGGTTGTGATGTGTTAGGCTGACCAAATGCAGGCTGTCCAAAGCCAGGTGTCCCAAACCCAGGATTAGTATTGGTGGTGCCAAAAACAGATTGTCCAGAGTTATTCGTGGAGCCAAATACATTCCCTGATACCGTGTTCGCGACAGGGTTTGATGTAGCAGATGTAGCAGAAAGGAAGGGATTGCTCTGGTTATTTGACGCTGCTGTTTGATTCGAAAATGATGATGCCTTGAATAAGTTGGTGGAGTTCGAAGTTGGTCCAAAACTATGTGATGCATTTGATCCAAATGTACTGTTTGTACTAGACCCAAATCCACCAGAGGTATTTGAACCAAAAACACTACTAGTTTTAGCAGGGAACACAGACTGACTACCAAATGAAGTGGCATGAGGGGAGCTACCAGTAAAAGGGTTTGAAACACTGGAAGAGTTGCCAAATACGTTGGAGTTTGATTGTTGCACTGTGTTAGGGGCGTTTGCAGAAACCGAATTTTCATTATCGTTTCCAATTTTCTGACGAATCAAATTGAGGATGTCATTTTTATCAGCTTTGGCGACAGAGTCTATGAAATTCTGCACTTTTTGGCCTTCAACAGTTATCTCTTGAATGTGCTGATTGACTGATCCAGAGGTTCTTGCAGTGTAAAATGCAAATCTAGCTTCATCAACAGATAAATCCTTAAGTTCTGAAAACAATTGTTCTATCCCATTCACTGAATAACAGGAAAATGGCCAAACCTTTGATGGAAGCCAGTTCTTGAAGTCGTTTTGCACTAATTCAGCTGTCGATTCTGCTGAACCAACTTTTTGCTTCATTTTTTGCTTCAATTTCTCATCTGGATTCAAATAGTTGAACCGATTTGGGTCAGAAAATCGACTGAAGGTATTGCCTGAATCATTTGCATTTGTGCTAGTAGAATGCGAAAACTTACAATTACTACCAAATCGGCAAGTTCCTTGAAGAAAAAACTTGCAAACAGTAGTACTCATTCCGCATGTGAGAGATAGGTCAGGTAACCTTCCTGAACAAACTTAAAATTAAGATCGTGCTAGTATCAAGCATCATGATCAGCTCATAATCTGATTATCAAACAAACATATATTGCATGCACGGTAGGGACCTAATGTATCATTTTAATCGTGAATCCAAAATCGGAGAAATCAGTGAAGTTGGGAAAATAGAGGTGGGGTAAGACTACATTGTGGAAGGCTATCCTCTATCTAGTTGGAAAATTTTTTAATTTTCCATGTTATCTTTAACATAAAACTTGTGTTTATATGAAGCAAAACAAACTCCCAGAAACTAGGAAATACTAGGAGGGCTTGGTAATCCAGTGGTTGCCTGAAGGGGCTTGTTGATAGAAGTTTATAGATTTGAGACCTTCTTGTGCCAGTAATTCCAGAGAGATACTAAAGAAGGAATCATTATTAAAAACATTTACGCTAATAATCAATACCGATCAGCTGACAAGGTTAGTGTACAATTAACAACATCAGAGACACAATAGCAAATCTCCTTCGTGAGGTATGTCATGATGTGAAAGTCGAACCCCAGCTATAGAAGGTAAATGAGGGTGACTGCCTCAACCCCAAGACTATAACAGGTGACCAAGCTCGGCTTGACGTATCTGCTAGAGGAGTTTGGACTCCATTTGATAAGACCTTTCTTGACATAAGGGTTTCACACCCCAATTGCTTATCAAACAGGACCAAAATTCTTCAAGAAGTATACGAAGAGAACGAAAAGGAGAAGAAGGATGAGTACTTGGAGAGAGTGTTGAACGTAGAGAAGGCCACTTTCACCCAGCCGTATTTCTCACAACTGGAGGCATGTCCAAAGAATGTAAGCGGTTTCTAAATAGAGTGGCAGACCTCATCGCCAGGAAAAGAAAAGAGAGGTATCGCGATGTGGTAAGACATGTAAGGACAAGAATAAGATTCGCTATGTTAAGAACCACACTCATAGCTCTACGAGGGTACAGAGGAAAAAAATGGACAGCAAATATGAGACACCACTATCAGAAGTCTCTTATAACCTCATCCCTGCCCCTATGATGGAGTAGATGTGTATATAATATAATCTGATTGTTGATATTTCATATTATATAATATTGGTAGCAGTGGACGATTTCCGTTACCTCTGTATTCAAGAAAACAACAATTTCAAGAAAACAACAATTTTATTTAGTATCAGTTAAATTGTGCTCTGCCAATTGCAACATATGAATTATTTTATTGTATATATATACTGTTTGACACTTTTTCGATTAGCAACTCGATAAGGCTTAGCAACCTTCTAGCAAGTCAAATTCAAACAACAAGATAATACGGGCCTAGTTAGGAGATCTCAGTGGATCGAAAAATTCGGAATACAATGTTTCGTTTTGAATCACAAGCTTTTGTTAACAAAGAAACTTGACGAGGTAATAAAAAGGGGAGATGTGGGTTAGGTATTCTGAGTGGTGTTTGAGATTGGGTGCTTTTAATTGATTTTGGAAGACAGCCTAAGTTACTTTGTGAAATAATGGATTCACGACCTTATAGTAGAGGCTCTTACGGGCAAAAAGACGTGTATTCTGCTACGAGTTTAGAGACCTAACCGCTAATTAGACACAATAGTATGATGTCTAAGGATCGATAATATGTTAAGAAGTATAAATTTGGCCTTATTAGTCACGTGCTATACCAATGCGCGTTTTAAACTTTGACAGTCTATTACTCTAAGGCAAATAGAGTAATTATATTCATATTTTGTCAGCAATAAGATCACATTATTTTCTATTTGGTGTGAAAATATGAGCTAGAACGGACATAATCTCGCTGAGTTATAGCTGTTTGAAATTTATGATGAACGCGCGGGTGCCAATTGATAACAACTAAATGCTTTTACGCGTAGTGCGCGTCGAAAATTTGGCAAAAACGCTTGCGGAGTGACAATATTCAAACTTCGATAAAGTATATGAAGTGGGTACTTCTCGGAAAGGAAAAATTTAGGCAAACACGATGTGACTATTTTTGGGTTGATTTAATACAACTGCAAAAAATTATTCAAACTTCAAGCAAAAAAGTCAAAGTTTTTACCACTTTTTTGGATTTTTAACTGCGCTAAAATAGAGGGATTTGTTTTATTTTTATGCAGCTGTCTTTTAGCAGCTGTCTTTTAGCTATCTTCATGCAAGTTTTGCCGACATGCCAACAAAATTAACTTGCTCAAATTATCAAAAAACATGGTTTTTTGGCCTATTTTTGGCCCAAAAATCGGTTTTTTTGCGATTTTAACCGCGCTAACTCAGTCCAATCATCTTGAAACCACTTTTAATCGATTCTACGGTCAAAAATACGTCTAGTAAGGTGTATCTGGGGTCCCTAGCGTATCGTGCAGACAATGCCCGTAAGAGCCTCTACTATTAACCATACCTGATCATTTTCTTAATGTCCGCAAAAAGAGTGTTGAGGCTTATCTGGTGAGCTCATACTTTAGTGTTCACAAATACAAAGATTAAAGATAGGGCAAAATGACAGGCAAATGGCAAAGCGCCGTTTATATTATTAAGTTATGGCGGAAGTTAGTATAAAGTATGTAATATTATGTTTACCTAGTACAATATAAGCTTATAGTTAAAAGTTACCTCCGGAAAACAGATCGCAGAATCTCATGATATGAGTACATAAGCACCACCACAACAGTTTTCAGGGGAGAATTAAAGCTGAAGGTAAAATGATAGAAGTCAGAATTAAATGAAACGAATGTCATACGCGTGGATGGTGGAGGGAATGGTGGCGGGAAACAAAATATAAAGGGTTGACTCATCGACGAGTCAAGTATTAATTATGAATTAACGGGCGTGATACTCGTTAAATATTTGTTCCCAATATTAATTAAACCGTCGAATAGTCCAACTCGGCGAGTGTCTTGGCTTGGTAGATTATAAATATACAAAATATAAACGCACTTTGCCTTGATGTAGTGCGATGCGATGCACTACTGGGTGGCGCCGCGCATCAAATAATTCTTCTCGCAACCACATCTTCGGTAGATCGGCGAA